TCGACTTATCTGTTTCATATCCTCGCTCACTCCCTCACTCTCTAACCCACCAAGCAGCAGAGGAAGCGGACAACCCCTTTCATCCTCACCTATGAGGGTGCAGTGGACCTGGACTCGCTCAGCAGCTTTGTGGAGAGGAGAGGCTTCGAGACTCAGGTGCTGTGCTGTGCGATGGAATGGAATGTGACAAAGCAGCTCATATCTGTTGAGAACAAAGAAGCCAGTTCTGAGGTGTCTTGTCGAAAGTTTTTTTGGTGTATATGTGAATTAACGATGTTGACATCCAATCAGTCTGGATGTTGTCTCAGGTACCACTTCAAATAATGTGACGGTTGATCCACTCATCCATGGTAAGCTTTCTCAACTGTACCCCCTCTTTTCCTCTCCCTTCCCTTCCCCTTCTTTCCCCACCCTTTTTTCCACCGTTTCTCTGAATGCCCTTGTCAGATCAACGAGTTTCGTCAAACGCCTCGCCAGCTGTTCATCCATCCCCACCCGCAGCGCTCCCCACGTGCCACACCCACCCTTGACTCACTGCCCTCCTGTGACTTGTCCACCTCTGTCCACCTCCTCATGCGCCTCCTTCCCCTCCTGCCCTCCGCCGCTGCCGCTGCTGCTGCTACTCCTCCTGTCCGCCGCTGCAGCTTCTTTGCCTACTGCTGGTGTTTCTAGCAACTCTCGTGATGCAAGTGCTAGCCATCTGTCTTCTGGTGCTTCTGACGCCCCTACCAGCACTGGTGCTGCTCTGGTCAGCAATGGGTCTGGTGCAGCTCTGGCTGCTGATGCTCTCAGTGATGCGGCTGCTTCCATTGATACTAGATGGTCTGCGGATAATGCAGTATCAGGACCAGCAGTATCATCAGCAGCAGCATCAGCTAGTGGTGTGGCAGCAGGAGAGGATTCAGCAGCATCGGGTGTTGCTGTGCCAAGAGCAGGTCCAGGGGCAGTAGATGCAGCTGGTGCGAACTTAGAACCAGCTGGAACAGCCGTAACAGCAAGAGCAGCAGCAACAACAGAAAAAACCGCACTGGGAGAAGCAGCATCAATAGAGCCAGCACCGCCAGCACCAGCGGCTGATATTACCAGAGCAATGCGCCAGGTCAGTCGACTCAAAAGTCACTGCGCCTCCCCATGATTCCACCTTTCTATGATTTAGCTCCATCATATGACCAATTTACGCCTAAGCTGGCTGCCCATCCCTTTGTGTCTCTGTCTCCCTCATTCCACCTCCATTTCCTTCCCCCTTCCTTCTTACACCCTCCTCCTGTCCTCCTTCCCATCATCGTTACTTACCAGTCCACCCCCTCCTCTAGCGGAGCTCAATCAGCATGACGCACCAATCACATCGCTCCAAGTGGCCATCCCTGCCACGTCAGCATGGCCCCTTACTGCCTCAGGGTCAGCTAATGGTGAGAGACTGACAGCTCAGTGACAACACAAATCTAACTGATGGCGAACACATTCGGGGTTGTAAGCGCGTGTACTTTAACATGGACTGCCTTATCTGTGTGCTTGTCCTCATCTGTGTTTCATGGCCTTTTAAAAGTTTTCCATTTTGTGTGATTCAAAAGCTGCTTTCTTCTTCACCACCACGCTTTCCCTCCTGAGGAATCCCCCTCCTCTATCTCCATCCACTCACTTTGTCCAACAACCCTTCATTTCCATTTTCTCTGAATCAACTCAGAATGACTTAATGAGCCGATTTGAAATAGCTGACAAGTTAGCTCCAGTATCTCAACTCCATCCACTCGCTCTCCTTCGTACCCCCTGGCACCCCTGTCGCGTCTCCTTGTTCCCTGAACCTATATTTGACCCCTCATCAGTCCCTCATCCACACAATCTTCCCCCCCACCCTCTCCCCCTCTCCCCTCCAGGCTCCATGCTGCTGTGGGACATGCGAGCGCCCCCTTCTGCCTCTGTCCCCTGGAGTTGCCGCCTCTCACCCCTCACCATGACTCCTGTCATTGTTCCCTCTCTCCCTTTTGCTCCCACACTACCTCTCTCCCCTCCTCCAGGCTTCGTGCTGCTGTGGGATATGCGCGCCCCTCCTTCTGCCTGTGTCCCCTGGAGCTGCCGCCTCTCCCCTCTCACCACCACCACTGCCCCCACGTCGCCAATAGCAGTGACAGGGCTGGTGTTCTCGTATGGGGGGCAGCACCTCACTGCTGCTGACTCCTCAGGGGGGTTAAGAGTGCTTGAGGTGAGGCTTTAAGGGCTTGAGGAGCTCTAATGCTCACAGCGACAGCAATGACATGCTCTGTACGACGAGTGGGCCTCGCTTGTGTTCTCATACGAAAGGCTGCATTGCATGTTACTGCTGCTGACTCCACAGGGGGGTTGAGAGTGCTGGAAGTGAGGCTTTAAGACTCACAGTGACAGGCCTTGTGATGTTCTGTTGGCAGGCTGACTGGACCCAACTGCTCCTGATTTCACTCTGGTGCTCAGCGCGGTTAAGGCTGCGTGTTTTCTCACAAAGGGTTGAACCTTCCTGTTGCCGCATCTCCCCATTGCTGCACCTCCCCATGCATATTGCACGATAAGCCACTTCACCCTCAGCTCCTTGCCACACCACTCATCGCAATGCACTGCCTCTTCGCCCCTCCTCCTTTTCATGACTCCCCTAAGATGCGCATGGGCGGTGCTGAGCTGGCGTCTCAGCACTATCCAGGTGGCGGCCTCACGTGCTGCAAGCCTCTCGGCGATCAGTCTGTCCTCGCTGGCAGGTGAGGGGATAAGGGAGTAGGACTAAGCTGCACCCTTGTAGAACTAAAAAGGTTTCGTTGTCTTGTCATAGTTTTCACAGTTTACTGGAGTTATCAACAACCTCACGGTGGCAATCTTCATCCGGTTTACCATGCACATGTTTCGCGCGAAATGAAATCGTCCTCCTCTCTCCTCCTCCAGTGAATGGGGCCATTCTTAGACCTCTTACCTCACATCACGTAGACGTCCGGCCCGCTTGCCTCATTGTCCCTCCAACCAACGCTCCTCTTAGGCTCCCTGTTTTCAAGGCGTACCAGAAAGGCCCACTTGCATCGTTGCCCCGGCAATGCTCATTTGAGCGTTCCTCTGTTTTCCCACCTTCCCTTCCCCTGCTTTCCTCTCTTTAGCGATTCAAGTGACATCATTGCATGGGCGTGGGCATTTGAGCTCGAGTCTCTTGACCCTCACTCCAACACTTCTTTGGGCTTTCCTCTGTCTTCCCACCTTCCCTTCCCCTTTTCCTCCCTTCAACGATTCGGGTGATATCATTGCATGGGCATGGGCATCTGAGCTGGAGCAATTTCGCTCTCATTCCAGTGGAGCCATGCAGCAGGGTGCAAGAGGTTTTAACGGCCTTGCTGGGAGTGTAGCAGGGAAGCAGCACGGTGTACAGTCTTCGTCAAAGAAAGCACAGGGTTTGAGATTCTTTTCTGTTCCAATTAGCTCGTCTGGTATGTCCTCCATTGTTTCTGCTAGTGGTGTGAAGAACTCCAGGGTAGTGGTCGTGGGTTGTGAAGAGGGTTCCGCAGGCGTGGTATTATGAGCAGAGGCATACGGTATTGTTCTACATATCGTCTCTACCATTCTACAGATTCCTATAAGGATATGAAAAGGTTAGTCCTCGCTCCTGAGCCTTGTTGGGGCATTCCCTAGGCGGTAAGCAGAGCAATTTAATAAGGGCGTAACCATTTGAGGTCAATTTATCACAAACACGAACGTTTTGACCTTGACGAATTCGACCGTATTACACCGTATTACTACAAGTCCCGCACCTCACTCACGCCTGCCGCTGCTTCCGCGGTGGTTTCTGAGCTGGTCCGCCAGGTCCGTCTAGGACCCACACGGACGTGTCTCAATTGTGGGAGTTTACTTGGGGCCGAAACGGACCCGACAGGCCAGCCCGCAAACCATTGTGTGAACCAATGGCGGACGGGACCAGTATCATGGTTACTTCCAACTCTATTTTAGTGTTCGAAACACACAAACAGTGCCACGAACATGGTCGGCAGGCGAGTCCGCAACTGGTCTGTAAACAGTAATGGCTAACGAAAACGTTCGTGATTTCGCATATGATCGCGCTCGAAAGTTAGCAGAGGATTTGGGAGCCGCTTAGGAGCGAGGGCAACAAGCACTTGCGAAGGAGCTGCTCGACGAAAGGAAGTATTACAAGGATCGGAACAATGTGACCGGGAGGCGAGCGGTCTGATTTTTGCTACTCGCAACGACGGCAGACACCCTCGGTCTGCCACAATCGACGTGCACGGGTTACTCGTTCACGAAACGTTGGAGCGGGTCGAGAATCACCTCAAACAAGCGAGGGCAAGGAACGAAGTGGAGTTTTGGGTTGTAACGGGAGGCGAGAACCGCGCTGGCGGGATGCCCAGGATGAGGCTTGCGGTGTAGGCGTGGGCTGCGCGACAAAATATAGAGTGCATTGTTGAGCGCAGGAACAAAGATTATGTGCAAATGAGGTTGTCTGTTCGTCGCACAAACGAGGACAGCTGCTGCATCTTTTGAGCGATTTTTTTGGCCAGTAGTGCACACGACGATGTTCTTGCAAATGTCCCAATAGAAGAATTGGCAAAAACACAAATGCATAAACTAATTCAATCTGCATGCCCTGTTCCCCCTAGCGGCCCCTAGATCTATCAAGCAGTCATGTATTGATAGTGGACCTGAGGTACAGACATGGCAGGTTGTGGTTGAAGCTAGTCTCTCTAGGCATGCAAGCAACAGGTACCAGAAAGCCATCAGACACCAAAAACAAACCAAGCACGCAGACAAGCCGGCGAAGCAAAGCAAAGCAAGCTATGAAATCTGATATGCAGGCATGCCGTATGTGTCACCACGTTGGTCCCCTAACACTGAAGCGGCCGGCCAACACCACACCAGACCTGGGAGGCCTCCCTCTCCTCCTTTCCCCCATTCCACTTCCTCCAGTCTCCCTACCCTCGCACTCCCACCCCGCACCTTCCTCTCCACTACCACCCGCCTCCTTTCTCTCCCCCCCTGCCCCTCTATGCCGCTCTCGCAGGAGCCTCCCGCTCCTCATACTCGTCTTGGGTCATCTGCCATAATTCCCCCAGCCGTGGGGCCCAGGGGTCCGCCGCCGCCTGTGGGAACGCCGCCTCAGCTGCCCGGTTGGACTTGGACAGCAGCGAGATAGCCTGGCTCCGCTGCAGCATCACGGACCAGCGCTGTCGGTAGTGCGCGTTAAGCCGGGCAGCAGTGGTGGTGAGGCGGCCCTGCCTAAACTTCTTCTTTGCCGCGTGGGTGGCCAGCATGCGGAAGAACTGCGCCGTATCCGCTGCCATCGCTCCGTAGGACTCAACAGCTAGGCCAAAGAAGCCCGTGTAGCTGGGTCTCCCCTCGTACAGGCGGTGCTTCCGCTGTGACGCCTCCTCTGCCGCCCAGCCAGGCGGCCTGTACGCTCTCGGGTCTCTATTTTGCAGCACTGGATCTGTCACCGTGACGTCCGTCACCCAGGTCTCCCCCGACTCCTCATCCCAAATGGCCAGGTCCGCCCTCTTCCTGAGCATGGGCGGTGAGAAGGCTGATGTTTCGTGGAAGACCTTGTATCCTGCCTCATCCGCCATGCGCAGCGCCGCATACACCAGTGCGTTGTGTGTTCTCACCGCATCCCCTCCATCTTGGCAGCGCAGCAGGTGATTAGGGAGGCTCTTGTCTGAAATTGTCGCACCATCCCGCTTACACGGACACACTTCGGCTGCCGGGAGCTCCATGCCTAGGCGGAGGCCTAGGGCCAAGGAGAACTGACCAGGGGAGATGGTAAGGTCAGCTCTCGTTGGCACCGAATGGAGCCAATCCCCGGCCCCTGTCCCCTTCAGACTGATCAGCCGGATCGCGTGCCCCCTTCTGGCGCCGGGCCGGTCCTTGACTGTGTCTCCTAATAGGTCGATCGCCCGCTGCTGGTTGATGCACTTGGACAGGCGGAGCTGGAGGTTACCAGTTCCTGGTTTCTCCGTCCGGTACTGACCAAGTGCCTCTCGCGCCGAAGCTGGGAGGCTCGCTTCCAGGAGAGCCAACGGGTTGATGTCAGGGGGCGGAGGGTTCCAGTCATGCGCCAAGAGGGTAGAGGCCCTGTGCAGCAGGCAGTCCGGTGGGAGGTTCATGTGCAGCAGGAGTTTGTGTGCAGCCGCCACTGAAGCGATGTAGGCAGCCGGAGCCTCTGAGACCGGGTCAATTATCCCTAGATCTCTCTCTCTCTCTCTCTCTCTCTCTCTCTCTCTCTCTCTCTCTCTCTCTCTCTCTCTCTCTCTCTCTCTCTCTCGAATGGTCCTTTCATTAATGAAGGTATTGAGGTATAGACAAGTGCAAGGAATGTGCAAAGGAGGGCCTATACATGGGACTACCTATCCTCTTCCCTATCTAGCCCTCCAGGGTTGCAAAGCAGTCCCCTGGGTTCAGCACCCCCTCCGGCCCTCTGACTGGCGGGTTCTCTGCTTGCGCCGCCAGGTTCAGCTTCTTAAGGTAGCTGAGCGCTTGTCCCCTCTGCAGGGCAACGGACCACTGCTGCCGGTACTGGTGCAGCATTTTTGCTGCTTGGTAGGAGGTAGGGTCTGCGTTAAAGAGGTTTCTGGCTGCCTTGTCAGCCAGCAACTTGAGGAAGGCCGGGACTTCCTCGCAGGGGCACCCGTAGGTCTCCACCGCCTATGGGAAGAATCCCACCCAGGGGAGGCGCGTTCGGTAGTGACAATCTTCTTATCCGCCATCTCCCGCGCCATCTAGCCCCATCCCTTGGTGGCGTTTTCGTCGCGGCTGCACCTTGGGTTAGTGAGTGTGACGTCACACAGGTGTACCACGCCTGACGTACAATCTCTGATCGCCAGGTCCGCCTTTTGCTTATCCACTGGGCAGAATGCCGTTGACTCCTTATGCACTGTAAAGCCCGCGTCTTGTGCCATGCGCACACATTTATCTCTAATTCCGTTGTGTGTGTCAGTCCTTCCGTGTCCTGTACCGCAGCGAAGAAGGTGGTTGGGGAGCCGTTTATCCAGGATGGCGGTCCTTTCACGGCAGTCGCAGTGGTCAGGTACGGGGAGGGGCAGTCCTAGCCGGAATTGGAGTGCGTAGGCAAACAGCTCGGGGCTGAGGCGGAGGGCAGGCATGTACAGGATGGCAAGCAGCCAGTCCCCCGCACCATATCCTGTAAGAGAAAGCAGCTGCTGCGTATGGCCTGACAGCGGGTTCCATCTGCCTTGAGGCCACTAGCTGCACAACGAAGCGGCTGCCCTGGATGATGAGGGCAAGGCAGTGCTGCAGTCTGTTGGTTGGGGCGGTCCGTTCTGTGGCTAGCAGCCCCCTGGCCTCCTTGCCCAATGAAGCCTCACATTCAAGGAGCCATCTCTGCAGCAGGTGCTGGTCTGTGCTGTCAGGTGCAGGCCGAGCCAAGGTGCCAGTCAGGTGGTAACCAACGGGGCCTGGTAGGGAGCCGAGGAGATTTTGTGCTTGCACAAAGCTGGCGAGGAAACTGTATCTACCTTCAACCGAGGGGTCTGTCAGGCCCAGCCCCCCGAGGGATGGCGGCAGAGATGCTTGTTCCCATACACGCTGCTCCTCTGCCATTCCAGGCGTCTAGAAGCGTGAGGAAATGCGCCTGGCCCCAGCGGGACCATTCAGCTTCAGGTAGGAGGTGGAGGGGTGTGGTGCGGGCTAGGTACGAAACTCGCCTCAAGATGCATCTGGTAAGTAGAAAATTGGCGAGATGCGGGTCCATTTCCGCAATGAGGGGAAGCGGGGCCGACATCTTGGCCAGCTGGTGTCGCAGGAACATAGCCGCGCCATGTTCTGGGCTTATGTGACTGCCCAGGACGCACAGTCCATCTGCCTTGTATGGGACGCCAGCAGGTAAGAGGTTTTTGTCAAGTGGGCTCTGGCTCCAGGCCTAGCACTTTGAGGGGTTGTGAGTCAGCCCCACGCCCGCCAGTTGAGATGTGAAATGGTTGAACGTGGCTGCGCAGTCCGCCGCTGCTCCAAGGAAGGTGACGTCGTCTGCGAATGCAAGGCAGAGGACGGTTGGGAAGCTGTTGCGGTGTTGCTGAGGGTAGGATGCATGCCTGCCACGAATAGCAAGGGGCCCAGAGGGTCGCCCTGGCGTACGCCTGTTTGGCTAAGCAGGTGCTCACTGTGGAACTTGGCGTCCAGAAAGAGTTGGGACAGTGCTCCGTATGAGTTGGGTCGGTCCAGGGCCGTTCCTCGTATGGCCTTGACAATTGCGCCGCGGTTGATACTGTTGAAAGCATTCGCTAGATCTGCCTGCAGGATGAGGGCACTCGGGTTTGTGCCTAGGTAAGCCTGTGCAGTGTGAATGATAGCTTTGCTGCCTCCTTGGACAGCAACCCCGAACAGGAGCGTAAGAAAGAATGAGCGGGTGGCCTCGGCTATGGTGAAAAGGGCGGATATGGCGGCGAGGCGGAGGAGGCACTCTCTGATGGCGATGGGTCTTGTGCCCCACTCCGGTTTTCTTGTGTCTTGTGCGCGCAAGGTGTCAGAGTCATTGCAAATGATGCAAACAAACTCCTGGCGGGAATGCAGTCGGCAGTTGACGGTACGACGACCGATTTGATTCGCAGTTTCACTATCCACGGTTCCAAAGATCGCATGAATGACCAAAGTGACCCTCTCCCATGCTCGTTCTACGTATGTCCGACAATTTCAAGGGACGCTTCTCTGAAAATTTGAGCCTTTTTCATGCGGATTATTTTAGGTCAAATCATGGATGTTCAGGTCCCTTCGCGTGCCCGTAGTCTCCCACGGTGCCTCCCCATGAACAGGCACGCCCTGCAGTTTGGCGTTCAAGCGGAAAGTGGAGGACTGCTACCAACTCTCCCTCTCAAGGTGTAACCTGATTCTTGATTCAAACTAAGCCTCGTTCTTAGATCCCCTCACCTGCCCATTGTCCTCGGTGCCTTCCCATGATCAGGCACGCCATGCAGTCTGGTGTTCAAGCAGAAAGTGGGGGACTGCTACTCGCTCTCCCTCGTGAGGACGCAGAAGAGCATGGACAAGTGCAAGGAAGGCCTGCTGGTACAGATAGCAGAGTGTCGGGGCAAGCCAAAACGGGTAAGACACTTTTGAGCCGCCTTGGGAATACATCATGGACAAAGCGCAGGGACGCCTGTAATCAGGATATATTAAGAAATGCGGAGGCCAGCGGCAACAGGTAAGTCACGTGAATGATGTGGAAGACAGGTTGCGACGTGCATTCTATCCTTATTTTTTACCAACTCAAAGTGTCTCCAGAAACGGATAGCCACAACGGTGGGCCGGCTATAGCATGCGTTTGCTTTATATTTTTATTTTGACTTGCTTCTATTCTCATTTGCAAAGTGCCATCTGATCTGGTTTGCCACTCTGACATGCCTACGATGTTTTCGCAGTGCACGTCATATTTCCAGGAAGGCTCGTCTAAAGCCAGTTGTCTCCTCCAGTGGAAGGTAGACCTCCTCACCCTGTGTGCACATTCTTTGCCTTGCCACTTTCCTTGTATTTTCTTTGCAGACTGAGTATCCTTTGGCAGGAGGGTGCAAACAAGTCTTGTAAGTCAGCAAGGCCATGCGCCAAAAAGTGATTTCTACTCGTGGACATAGGGGAAAGGAAAATTGCGAACACTAGGGTTCCAAAAACTTCACTAACGACGTGTGTGGTGGAGAGATAACCGAACTTGAAATGGTGATCAGGTGTGACACTCTTGAAATTCGTTTTTTTTTTTTTTATATAATTTTATTTTAACTCAAATCAAGAACTTGATCAGGAACTCGATCCTGCGAGCTCCACGTGGGTCACAAAGTCTGTGGCTCAGGATTTTCTTCGGTGTGATCAGCTCCGTTGGTGGTCATGTCATGCTAGCTGGGTGGTTGCGTGGCAGTTTACTGATGGACGGGACGTACGGGCGGAGTCAGTTGACATGGAATGTCGAGCTGACGTACGAGTCAACAGGGAGGAGGTGGGCGGTGACCAGTGTAATCACTGCCTGATGCAAAATGGCCCGCAATACCGTGGGCGGGGTTTCGGAGTGACGGATAGGCGGAGGTTTTGCGTGTCGAGCAGAACGAGGTTATCGGGCTGGTAAGCGACGGGGCAGCAGTGGCGATTTGCGTTGCGTTTAGCGGTAATGTTGGATTTCTTCATGGCGTACACTGCTCGGGTTCGGGCAGCCTATAGAATTTCAGAGAATTCTACTGCACGGTCACCTACAAAAAGGGAGCCTCGAATATCGCCGATGCATTGACCCCCCAACTGCCCAAATACACGCCCTACTACTCGCACAAACCAACCCACTGCTCACAGGACTATTTACCCACGGATGCCAGACAGATCCGTTCTTTCAAGAAATTCCCAGCAGTTCGCAGAAGCAAAAGGAATTTATTACGTAAAAGCTGGCAACGATCGCATTTGGGTACCGGGTTACACGCTACTACGGGAACTACTGCTAGAGGAGGCACACGCCGGAGTTACCTCAGGGCATTTCGGGGTTGAGAAAACACGGCAGCAGCTGCAGCGGTATTACTACTGGCTTGAAATGTTGACCGATGTACAGCGGCATGTGGCATCGTGCCCCACCTGCTAGCTCATGAAGTCGTCACTGAAGCGGCCAGCTGGCTAGTTGCAGCCGATACCACCCCCAGAGCATGCTTGGCAACAGGTGACAATGGACTTCGCCACAAGGTTACCAGCTGGGGCGAGTGGGACCGAAGAGATCCTAGTCGTCGTCGATCGACTGACGAAAATGGCCCACTTTGCAGCATGCAATAAGTCAATCTCGGTCGAAGAAACCGCACGACTCTTCATCTCCACCATCGTCAGATTGCACGGGATACCAGCAGCAATCATCAGCAACTGCGACACAAAATTAACCACGAAATTTTGGAAGAACCCATGGCAGCAGTTTGGCATGCGACTGCGATTCAGCTCATCGTACGACCCCGAAACAGACGGCCGGACTGAACGGACCAATCAGACCATGGAACAGTTAATCCGAGCCATGTGTGACGACCCAGCAACTTGGGAGCAGCTGCTGCCACTCATCGAGTTCGTGTAGGACAAAGTAACAACACGTGGAGATTATAATTTGTGGTCTGGCCATATTGCCATGTCGGCCCTGGTCAAGTAA